TTAGGGGTAATGTGCACGCGAGGGCCGCGAGCATGAGGGACGGGATCACGGCGTTCTTCAACCCCAACTTCATGGGCAGCACCAGCAGCACTGCGAAGCTGAGGGGCTTCATCTGGCAGTTCGAGCTGCCTTTCCTTGCAACTCAAGTGTTCGTTCATCTTGATTGGGAAAACTTTTAACAACTCTACACTCTAGACTCTAGACTCTCTCTTATTCATTCAACTCAAAACCTTCAAGGGCCCGGTAACCAGGTGAACATCAGTGTTCGAACCACAAAGCAGCGTCTTGTCTAGTCTAGTGGCTAGAGAGCATCTTGCCCACTATAGTTATAAACTATAGACTATAGTCATTATAGATACTAAAGACTATAGACTCTACAAACCATAATGCCATAAACCATTCCAGTGACTATGCCGCACAAAGTATAAATTATATCATAAAATGATAAAGGCTTCCCGTGACTAACCTAGGACCTAGGACCTAACAATACTAAGAACATAACACATTCGAAACAGTTATGGGCCTGGGGCCTAGGGATGGCATAGGCATAAGGCCTCAGGTCGAGGGCCTACCCGAGGAGGGCTTCGTGGCCTAAGCTTCAAAAGACAGCAAAAACAGCACTGACACTGACTATGCCGACTATGCTCCTCAATCGTATCTTCATCGACCACACTGATGTCGGATGGCAATGGGGGATCGTCGTCAAGCTCACGCTCAGGATCTGAATCTGGTGCCTCCTCTCGACTCAAAAGGTCCGAAGCCTCTTTCAACAACCCCTCTGCAGCATCATGCTCGGCAAGCTCATGGTCCGAGAAAACACCAGCACCCGGCGGAGCTTCAGGAACCACCGCAGAGTCCGACCCAGAAGGCCTAGCAGTTGGCCTAGCAGCACGGCCGCCTGGGCCTTGTGAACGGCGGCTGTGTTGCGGCGGCGGATTGGCTTGCTCGGCCTTCCACCCCTGCCAAACAATCATCTCCGGAATCTCATCATATGGGCTTGCCTGAACACAGGCCGGCGAAAGTTCATTCCGTGTCAGTACCTCGCTCGTCGACCGGAGCTTGAAGACTCGTAGTCTCCAAACCTGTTCCAAGTCCAGGTTCGCCTTGAAGAATTCGAAGGAACGAAACGATTGGACAACATCCTCTCCTGCCTGTCCTTGCTGCAAAGCAGATAGCTTGACGACATGGCCAGAGCTGTTGAAGTCAACCAAAGTCATTGGTGTAACACTGAAAACATGAGTGGTATGATTGATGTACCCGACATGCAGCCAATGGGTTTCGGAAGCTGCTGGCACAGCCTGTCCTGCATCCAACAGGATCTTGTCTGCAACAGAAGCCCAAGCCGAATCTGCTTCCGCTTCCGCAAGTGGCTGCCCATACCGGAAGCTTCCAACGTCAGGATCACCATTCTGAAGCCGAAAAATGAGCATGGCCCGATCCAGAAGCTTTCTCGCTTCCGGGTGCACAGGCTTCTTGCGCTTGCTGTCTGATGGCTGCACTGCCTCACCGACCTTCCGCTTTTGCCGCACTGCTTGCACAAAGGGCCGCAGCAACTTGGACAACTTGGAATGCATCGCGAAGGCTTGCAAGCCCTTCCCTGCATGAACACAGAATCCAAGTGAACAGCACACGCTTGGCTGGAAAGCACCTGAGACGTCCAAGGCTGGAGCAGCACTCTGCCTAGTCAATGTGCATCTGTTGGACCAGCTTTCATCCAACATGGCATTCAAACCCATGCCGTGTCCTTCGTTCTGCTTGGACGTGGGCTTGAACAGCTCCTGGGGCAAAAACATAGAATCACACCCGTCGCTGTCGCAGCTAAAGTTTCAGCTAAAAAGCAGAAAATGTTGCGGCTTCCTGGAGTCAAACGAGGCGTTGAGGTTCGGGCTACTGAGCTATTGGTTATGACTATGACTATGACAGACAATGACAGACCGACCAAAGTACTGAGCTATTTCACAAGGCATCAGGAGCAACGTATGGATACGATCACCCTACTCGGTTTCTATCAGGAGCAAGGTATGGATACGATCACCCCACTCGCTTTCTTCAGGAGACGACTACCTAGTGACCTAGGGACCTAGTGACCTAGTGATTACCGGTGACTACCTGACTACCACCAAAACAACCACACACAGACAGGATCATTGTGGTAAGCATGCCGCTATGCAACCTCAACAAAACTCTTCTCCTGGCAAAAGCCGTCAGTTGGAACCAAGAACTGAGCAACGGCAGGCTGCCCAGGTGTGAAGACGAAGGCCTTCCCGATCTGCCCAGAAATCCGGTCTGCTCGAGCCAATCCAGACTCTGTGTGGTGAGGCTCCAAAGCTTCAGAACCGGCAGTTACAGCAGCATCGATCGCTTCAGCCTCCATGTTTCTGTGCTTCGTGCGTGTCCTGCTCACAGAAGCGAGCGCGGAGAGCTGCAGCTGCAGCTCCTTGTCAAGTTCCTGACCATTTGCACAGTTTGCGATGGCCTCTGCACTGGCCTGGGCGGAGCGGCCCAGAGCTTCCACCGCTCGCTCTTTGTTTTCTCTCGACCGTCTGGCACGGCCTTCAGGCTGCGAGAAGCTTCTCTTGCCTGCCCTGTGCGCCATCTGTCCGAGCACACCCAAATTCTTGGCTAGTTCAAAGTCCGCAGTGCGGGCCGCTTTCGCGGCATGGTACTCTCGCCTGATTCGTGCCATATCTCGCTTGGTCCATGGAGCACCCCTAGTTCGGGCTTTGAGGTGAAGCCAAGCTCTCCAAGATCCGCCACCTTGTTTGGATCTGCGGGGCTTTGCGGGCCTCCCGACTTTTTTGGGCTGCTTCGGCGGCTGGCGGAACGGCTGTCGAAGTAAGGCAACCCGACGAACCACCCAATGTGCATTCGCACAAGCATAACTGGTGACCCATGTGTGCATGGACTTGCTGAGAATATTCCTGCGGATTGTACTGTGGTTTCTCTCCAAATCCAGTATGTCAAGCTGAAAATGTTGTGCCAGCACCTGCAGCATTTGCTGCGCAAGCTCTCCTTGGAAATCCGCAGGCTCAGGGAAGGTACTCATGAAAAAATGTGTGATCTGGTCGTGCAAACACCTTGGCAAATCGCAAAGCTCCTGCGCACCGCCAGCTAATGTGCGAAAAAGGACGAATGGAGATCCAGCACCGAGGCTCCATATCAGCTGCTGGGCAGCACACAAGCTGACAGACAACATTCGGAAGGCCAACGATCGAATCGCATCTGTGTGAGCATCATCTGGCAGCCCTGGCAAACACGAAGACAATGTGTCAAGAACATGCTTCGTGAAAACAGTCTGTAGCTTGCCAGAGAAAAACTCCACGACCCGGTGCAACCTCTGCTTGCCCTGGCTCGATTTCTTCATCTGTTCTTGCACAAAGGCCACCGATGCCAGATGCACCAGTGTGTACAGCAAGTGCAAAGAGGCTTTCATGCAGACTCTCATGCAAACAAGCACTCCAGCGGGGGAAGACATCACCCAAGCTAATGCTTTGCGTCGGTTCATTTTGTTGAACTCATGCCACGATATATCTGGGTTTGACTCGGGAGGCATGTCATCTGCTGCAGTGCCCAAGTCTTCCTTGTTGTTGAAAACATAATCCGCAAAAGAACACTAACAGTCACTAACACTGTCAAATTTGAATAGAAGAAAGTTAGTATAGAGTATAGTATAGTAGTAAGTAGTAGAGTCCAGAGTATAAACAGTATAGAGTCAGAGTATGGATAGACGGATAGAGTCAATATAAGAAGTAATACTCCAAATATGTTAAACATGTGCAAAATATACCCCCCTGTATACCAAATGTACGCATTCAGCTAATACTACTGGGACTGAGCTACTGAAGCTACTGAGCAGCTAGTAAGCTACTCAGCTACTCCTGCTACTAAGCTTGGTAAGCTTCAGGAACATCTGGGTCCACAGCATCAAAGGCCGAGTCAGCAGATGTATCTTGGATCGGCCGACTGCCTATGACATCTGCCACCGCCGCCCATCCTTGGGAACTTCCCGGGACTTCTGCAGCAGGGCGAGACCTCGGAGCCGCCGCAACGACGGCAGGAATGCCTGTAGACTGTGCCCACGTCTGCACAAGTGGCACAAGAAGGCCGTGGTGTGTGCTCAGCAGCCCCGCCCAGGAAATCCCATCCTCGCCTCCGAGCCACTTGCTCCTGTTGAAGTACGGCATCTTGTGCGGCAGAAGCGCTGCAGAGACATGTCGTACCCAGGAGTCCAAAATCGCATCCTTGGTAACCTCTGGGTTGGCCGTCCAGTAGGTGATTGTCGCCTCATCTTGCAAATCGCCATTGACCAGAGAGGAGAGAATCATTCTCTGCTTTTGATGAAGCAACGACCGCTGTGTTTCTGCGCCCAGCGGCAGAAACAGCTCATGCAGAGCTTCGCGATGTGCGACACAGTGACTCGGTGGATCACCATGACGCACAATCAGCTTCTGTGCCAGGATGGCACAGAGGATCTTCCGCAGCTCGGCCGTCGTCCCGGCTGGAGCCATCGACAAGCTAAGTGATAGGAGCCCACTGATATGTCCGGAAGTCAGCTTGAACTGAGCTGATTGGATAGCAGCAGCCTTGTGAAGAAGACAAAAGTGATGGCTTTTGATATACTCGCGCTCTTCGGATTGAAGGGCTCGCTCGGCACTGATGTTTGCCGCATACCGATCTGTGCACACCACATCTACCAGCATCTTCGATCGCTCTTTGAGCTGTTGCGGTATTTGAATCAAGGATTGAATTTGCCGCTGGCTCTCAGCGATGTTCTCCTTCGTCGTTTTGTCCAGCACGTGGAGCCACGTAGGACAGGAGCCATGAACCTCCTGGTACTCGTACTTGTCGGCATCAACACGGCGTCGAAGCAACACCACGATGCCCAGTTCTGATTGCATGACCTTCGCCTTCCCAGGAGTTGTCTTGGCAGGTTGCCCAAGCACCGGCGGCGAGCTCTCAGACTGGGTTGGCACCGGTTCCTCTTTCAAGCGCAAGTTGAAAGGACTCTCGTCGTAACGTCGTTTGCGAAGCACTGCCAAAGGTTCAAAGCCTTGCTCAGCCATGTCGTGCAGTCGCTGTAGTGTCACCGACCACAAAAACCCAGAAGCTTGCAACATCGCTTCTGCTGTTCGAAAGTAGTCCTGCTGTACATACTGGTACTGCTTGTTTGCCTCCAAAGCTTTGATTGCCCATGAACTCACGTTTGAAGACGTACTCATGACCTGCTCGACAGGGTTTGGCATGCCAGGCAAAGACTTTTTGGCCAACTGTTGGTCCACATGCAAGCATAATCTCTTTTGAATCGGGTTGACATCGGAAGTCAAAGCTAGCAAAGCAGAAGCTCGCTCTTCCACCTGAACTCCCACAACAGCATCTGTGTCGGGTTCAGCTTGTCTTGCCGCCCTGCAAGACTGCAACTGCTCTTCTTGAGCAGCGATGTCTGCCCTGATCAGTACACTGCCTCTAGGACGACCGGCCGATACACGGGGCACGACATTTGCTGACGAAGCTTGCCGCACCGACGGCTCTGCTGCAACATTTGCAGCTGCTATATCCGCTTCAGTCGCTTCAGTGTCTGAATCGATTGCATCGGCGACTGCATCCCAACCCATGCCATACTGGGCGAATCAAGAACATGGTGAGACCCACACAAAACGACTAGCTGACTAGCTCTCGCATTACTAAAACCAAGGCATGAAGCTGCTGGCAGCACTGGGTCCCTGGGTCCTCGTGCTCTACGACTCTACAATGATATCTGCTACTGTTACTCATCTGTCTGACAAACGTTCCCAATGCCCTGGACTCCTAGACTCTAGACCCCAGGCTTTTCGGACTCGATTTCCAGCAACTTGGTGGTGCGGTTGAATTGTCTGATTCATAGCACAATTTTCTGGAGAACATTTTGGGCGTTTTGCACTTGCACATGCATAGCTGACAATGCTGCGAATGCATCGGACTCATGCAAATCTGATCTGCACTAACCTTGCAACGACTCTCATGACGATGACTCGGCAACCGGTGCAACAGGCCACCAAAACTAATCACCTGGAAGCCTAGTGGCCTAGTCTGGTGAGCCTGCTCAATCTAGTCAATGTTTTGTCAATCTTTTCTACAGTGTACAATTGTACGGTCTGCAAGACCACGACTACGCGAATCGACAATCTGACTTTACACCAACATCTGGGTTTTACAGCTATAGCAGACTATCGCACTATGTCAGAAACCTATGACCCATGACCTGCAAACGTACAGTCCTACAGCATCTGGAGTCTGTGATCCTGAGCGCTCTAGCAGCTAATCTAGCAACAGCTGCAGCTACTCTAGCTCTGGACTCTAGGCTCCAGAAGCTAGTTGCTGGTAGTACTACTAGTAGTAAAGTAGAAAAGCCGAAGAATTCCAATCGAACTGCACAACACTTCGGATGTCCAGCCTGCTCCGAGCAAGCTTCACCCAGATCGAGAGCTCGCACTTGATGACGACGATCCAGTAGCCGCCCTTGGTGAACTTGCACTCGCCAAAGCCGTCGATGAACCTCGCGATAAATTTGGGCAAGGGCGGCTCGGCGGCTACGGTCAAGGCTGGGGCTAGGCCACTAGAGTAGTCACTAGAGTCACTAGAGTCACTAGAGCCTAGGGCCTAGAGTCAGTGCGTGTGACTTGGGGACGGTTCAACGGTTAAACCGTGACGAAAGATTCAGCAGGTTTAAGGGGTGACGAGTAAGTCAGTCAGTACTTTTATCACATCTACGACTCTACGACCTACTAACGTACTTGACCGATTAACTAGACTCTAGTAACTAGACTCCTAGGTCCTAGGGTCCTGGACCTGTTTCAAATCTACCGGGTATCCACCGGACCGGCCAATCCCGGGATACGAGCACCTATGACAATGTAGAGCTGAAAGCTGTTCTTCAGTCATGTGATCTGGTTAGATTCGGTTAGATGATATGAAGTTGATGGGCGATGGTCACCCCCTTCCAACTGCTGCAGTGCAAGTCGATACAATCTCAATATAGTCGCTAGCCGCTAGGACTTATTACAATTGACTACTGACTACTACTACAAAAACTACAACTGCATCTGCAAGCCGATTAGCTGGCGAGGCTCTCAACTGGCAGTGTAGTGTAGTATGGCCGCATAACCGCTAGCCGCCGCTAGCCGTGAAGCCCCGTTCCCCAACACCAACAACCCCCTCCCGAGAACAATGGAAGTGGCGACACCAAGAAGCAAACCCAGCTCAACTGCACTGGCATGCCGGAACCGCGTCTCGGGACGGACCTATTCTTGAGGTACTGTAACCACCTAGTAACAAATAGTAGCGGCAGGAGCGAACCACAAGACTCACTCAACAGTAGTAATAATGACCTATAAATAATGGATACTGGATACGGCTGAACCTAGTTAAAAGTTTCCAATTCGTTTTTGGGTAAACCGTAAGGCTTTGGGACGGCAGGAAGTTTGATTGGTGACAATGAGTGAATAATTAGTAGTTAGGTATCCAATTAATGAGCAAGTAGCAAGTTATTACTTATGTTCGGCGTATAGGTATAGGGTCCCGCGATTTTGTGCCAGTAGCAGCTCAAAGGCCAGGACTTGGCAGCACTATGGCCATACACTGAAACTCAAAACCTACAGACCTACAGTGTCCCACATGACCTTTAGTACAGTGCTGATGGGCCGGACCTAAAGCTTGGACCTAAGGACCTCATGAATTTACACGACTTGCTCGCCCCGCCTCTGCAAGGGCGTCTCTGATGTCGAACAATCGAAAGGCAATCCGAACCCTGCAGTCTGCTCCATCACTGCAGTCTTTGGCTCAAAAGCCTCGAAAGCCTTGAACACATCCACGAAAGTCGTGGCGTAACTCTTGTGACTCATGACACTGTCCTGATGGAAGCGCTTGCCTCTCATCCTGCTGAAAGGGTTGCACGGGCTGCCACAAACCAAGAGGTCAACATCTGCAGAGCGCTCGGAACTTCTAGACTGACGAAGCGAAGACTCATGCGCAGAAACTTGCATCTGAAGACTCGTGAACTGCTGCTCGATCGTATGGTTGGCAGCTTGAAAGCTGCGGAAATCTGAGTCCGGCTCTGACGTCGACAAGCATCGGAAAGGAATGCCCAACTCCTGGACAGATGCAACTGTCGGGCTATGATTTCCGCATGTAGGAATGAGGCTTTGGGGGGTTTGCTATGGTCTGACACTGCAGAATGACGTGTGAAACTGAAGTTTAGCACTATAGTATAGCTGCTAGCTGCGAGATGCGAGCAGGTAGCCGCTTGGCCAAACGTCTAAGAGTCTAAGAGCTAGGTGCGTAGGAGCCCGGATTAGCGCAGAAGCCAACAAACCGAATGATTGAACTGAACTGCAGTCCTTGAGTGCAGTTGCTTCCGTGCACGCCCCGCTGCAGCAAGAAACCAACTGAAGCGGTTTCGCACTGTCTGCTGAGACTTTGTAGCCTAATGCCAATGCATGTTGCTCCAGCTGCCGTGCCCACCATGATTTATCAGCATACCCAGGTCGTGGCTCGGGAATCAGCAACGTATCATCATCTGAATTTTCGCAAAGGGCATCTGCTTCTTCCATCAGGCTGTCACTAGACTCCTGAGAAAGACAAACATCTTCGGCCACCACCGCCCACCTAGAAGCATGGCCGGCATGGCCACTTTCGCCTTGCGCCTCGCACAAGGTCGAGGCGACGTGCCCCCAGCCCATGGCTGCCGAACACGGAAGTCACACGACTAGCCTAGCCCTAACATGGTGAGAAGCGACTGTGCCGCATGTCCAAGTCCACTAGTCACTAGCAGTTGTAGCTAGCAGCTAGCAGTAGCACCAGCAGCTACTGGGCTACTGGCAACACATACGGCGTGCGTCTGATGCTATGGCATGGCTGCTATGACTATGATTTGCTTCCCTCGCCAGGCTGTGGGCAGAAGACATACAGCAATATTCATCATTGGCCAGAACCAACTGCAAACCAAAAAAATCAAGCAGCGAAGCAGGCGAAGTTGAATCACACGTTCGGCGCAAATCCTTCTGTCCTAGGTCCTTGTTTCTACATTTGTAGACTGGACTAATCTAGGGAATCTAGGGGCCCTAGAGCCCCAGAGCTCGAAAGGCCCTAGGCCCTGGAGTCTGCACTCTACATTGTGCTTTAGAGCCCTCCACTGCACTTGATGCTCCCGAAAAGCAAACTGAGTTCAAGTCTTTCAAGGGCAATTTGTTTGTTGCTTGGCCGGGTCTACTTGGGGAGGTCGTCTGCCTAATTCTGTCGCCAGATCATCAATCGAGAATCCAGAGGGCCCCGACCTGACAAGATCTTTGAGTTACAAGATATCAAAGTTTGGGTTTAAAGTTCTGCCCGATTCCATGAAAACAAGCTGGCCAACAGATAAATGTGCCTTGGATAGTATGAACGTATTCAAAGTTGCAATGTGTTGATGTGCCCTCTGCTGCCCAATAAGTGCACACGGACGGGTCGTGAAATACAGCAAATCTTCTCCCTTGCAAGGTGTCTACAATCTGTCGACCCTAGGACTCTAGGACTTTAGGACATATGGGACGTCGTAGGATTGTAGGCTAGGGGACAATATGAGATCTAGAATCTAGACCTGGGGCCTAGGGTTTCAGGACTCTAGGACTAGGACCGAGAAAATTTTACGACGACTCGAATGATCTAAATAACTAGAGAATAACTAGAATCTAGAATCTGGCTGTTGGCTACAACATACTAATATTTGGGTCTCGAGCATCACTGTAAAACTTCTCATTGAAAAGCAAAGCGGCTTGACCCTCAGCCAAAAAGGTTCAGTGCTGTTGAATGCCTTTATAGGCTAAATACTTGAACCTGGTACTCGGTTTCGACTCGGATATGACATGGAACAAGCCGTTGAAATTGGTGCAAAACGGGATTCCCTACACAAACCGATGCTTTTCCTCGCCTCCCCAAAACGTGGGCCCGAGACTCAAGACTCTGCCCAAATCCCCCCCACCCCCCGAACACGGCAAAATTCAGAGCCATGTCCAGATTACATAGTTTAGGTTGGAAACGTTTTCGGTTTAGACTCTACACACAGGTAGCCGGACATGGGTTGAGCAGAATATCTTCATTCATCAGTGTCATAGGGACCGAACTATCGCCATCATTACCACGGACAGTTGGGTTGGAAGCCGAGCTAGGTATACTATTTCCTTAGTTTTTTTATTGTTTTTTTTTGTATTCTATTAAATGCCTTTTGTAGGCATCGTATTTTCCATTCGTATTTATTTTGTATTGTTTTCGTAAATAAATCATCACGCGCCATCCAGTCGTTCTGCAGGGTTAAAATGTCTCAAGCCTAGTAGGCGAAACACGTTGATGCAGGGCCCACAACACCTTCCTTCAGGCACTCGCAGAGCCTCTCCATCAGCGATGATCCTTCTGTACTTGGCCCAAGGCCGCTTGCGCAGCTCAGCGGCCTCTAGCAGAACATGATCGACCTGGTTATCCCCTTCACCCACAAGGGGACTGGGATCGGTGCTAGTGCAGCCACACAAGCAGCACCTGCACGGCTTGGAGTGCGCAAAGCTGACTGCAAGACCCAGCAGTCCCTTGAAGCTGGGCACGCTGGAGCTTGGTGCTGCCACAGACTTTTCCGTTTCCGACTCAGCGTCAGACTGCTCCAGCAGCGTCTCCAGCTGCTGGGCTTCTTCGGACGGGTGTTCTTCCCCTGCTTCCATTGGCACTAACCGAGCAATCACAGCGACTCAAAACAAATCTTGGGCCGATCCAGAACAATTCCAGAGAATGTGCGAACAAATTAACTATTGACCAAACTATTAACCAAACTTTTGAAACAATTATCAAAACAATTATCAAAACAATTGTCAATAGAAATCTCGGCCCAGATAAGCAGAGATCTCTGCTTATCTTTTTATTGTTTTACATAAACTTAAAGCAGCTAACAAAAAAGATAAGCAGAGAAACGAAAAAGATAAGCGGAGATTTTTATTAGCAATAGTTTGTGTAATAGTTTGAACAATTGTTTTAATAATAGTTTAATAATAACAATATTTGTTAAAAATAGTTTGGAATAATAATACCACAGAGATTTCCTCTTCAGATATTATTGCAATATTGTTTTAGCTGCACCTACCAGACTAGACTCTGAGCCACGGTCTCCTGGTCCTTGGGAAGCAACATCATACCAGCATGCAGCCTGCAGCAAGCACTTCAGCTCCACACAAGCAAAAAAACTTTTTTGCCTTCATGCCCCCACGCGCTTGTCAAGCTCCTCTTCGGGAAGGCCTGTGGCAAAGTGGTTCAACCTTGGGCCGCCTTTGGCAAGGTGCAAAGACCTGGCTTTACTGCCCCCCATGCTGGCTTCATCCAACCCGGCTACAAGCCAGCGCTTCAAGCGAAGCTTGCATTCCGCCTCAGTCAGGTTCTGCACAGGAAGCACCTTTCTGCACACCACGCCAGTCTTGTCGTCTGAGTTGTGATGCATGCCGCAGGTTGCGACCCAACCGTCTCCAAAAAACTTGGATGTGTGCCGCCCAATTGTAAAACAGCCCCAAGTTGTGGCGCGATGTTGGACCGTTCCTCTTTGGGTGGCAGGATCCCGGCTTGAAGCCGCTGCGTTGCCTGCTGGCTCTGGGGCTGCAACCTCTTCGCAGCCGCTTCCAAGCCAAACCTCGGCTTCGTCAACTGCCAAGCTTGCTGCCGTGGCCGCCTTGGCCTTGGCCTTTTCAGCTCCAAAGTCTTCCGCGTGAGAAGACTCCGAATCCGAGAGAAATGGAATGATTCCCTGGAGCTTCTTCTCCTGTTGCAAAGAGTTTTGTGCTTGTGTCTTGGGTCTCTGGGCCGGGCCTTGGCCAGGCTTTTTTGCAGTTGTGCGTTTAGGCTGCTCAGCCGGGTGTGCCAAAGCGAATGCAGCCAAAGCCGCGTTGGCTTCCATTTGTTCACGCGATCGCCTCGAATCCAGGTACTCATCTTCGTCAATTGCTGACTCACCAATAACATCAAAGCGGCTTAGCAACTGAACCCGCCCAAGCCTGGCAATCCGCATCTCCCAATCTTGCGCCTCTGTGGCCATTTTTGCCAAGAGCATGCTTTCGCTTAAAATGTCAAGCTGTCCCCTGAACCTGCCCAAAGGGCTAGCGTGCAAGCTGGCCAAAATGCCATCTGCCATCAGTTCTGGGGACTCTTCTCTATGGAGAACCAAAAGAGCCGCTTGATGTGGAGCCCGCAACGTGTGGAACATCACGGCCACATCGTGAATTCTTCGGGTGCTCGGCGAATGAAACGACACAACCAAAGGTTCAGACCCTGTGGCCTTGAGGCTTGGAGCCTGCTTCAGAATCACTTTCCAGAACGAGTCCAAAAGACGGCTCATGGTGGGCCTGCTTGCCTCAGGTAGGCAATGCTCACACGCATCGACCGGGCAGGGGGCAAGCAAAGGCCACTGCGGGTCTGGCTCACCAGACATGCTGTCAGCACCTTCAGGTTGCAGCACATTGTGTGCCTTCCGAAATGCAGTACCAACCTTGGTGGCCTCGTGGCACTTGTCTGCAATGAGATGCCTAGCCAAAGGAAAGCCGTGGCTCGAGGCAGCGTTCCAAGGCCCACCGGTCTGCTCGGGAACTTGGCTTGAAGCCGCGTCATCCACGGAATCCAAGTTCTGAGCCCGGGCCAAAGCGCCCCAATGCTTTTTTTGGTCTCTGGACAGCTTAGACCACTCCGTCTTCGTGGCTGCAGCCATCTCTGCTAGCGACAAAGCCTGCAAAGCTGGATTGCGAGCGATCAAATCTTGCTGAAATAAGTTCCAGCCATTGACAACTGTGTTGGCTGGCATCACCCATGCAGGTCGCCTGTTGTGCTTGTTCCTGCCTTTAACTTTCAGGGTGTTCAGGCGCCACAAAGAAACGCATTGCTCAAACTGGTGGTTGCAATGCTTGGCACACACACTGGATAGCTTTGGTTTGGGGCCTTTGCGAGGAGTGCTCCATTCACTCAAGCGTGCAAACATGCGCTCGATAAAGGTTGATGTTGGCACCACCCGGTTAAAAACCTCCTCCAAAAAATTCAAAACATCAACTTGGGCTAACCCCTCAGGATCGGCTGTCCTTTCCCTCAGTTTTCTGGAGAAACCATCCAGGCAGCAATGCGGAACATCAAACAGTTTTTTTGCGCAGCTTTCTTTGTTCGCTGCCGTTTCTGCTGGGTCTACCAAAACAGCCAGCTTCCATGGAAATTGTGACCATGGATACAACAGCTTGCGCCACAACTGTCCAATGACAACACAAAAGCTCCGCCTGGTGGTTCTCAACCTGGTCTGTGGCCATGACAAAACCGGGCCAAAGGCCAAAACAGCAGGGCCCCAGGAATCATCTTCCAAGTTTAGCAACAAGACACCCAAATTTTCCAAAGCTTTCTTGGCAGGGTTTTCGGCTGCTTTGCAAAAACAAACAGTCGTGAACGCATCAAGTGCATCCGCTGCCTGTGCCTCCAGGTCCTGTTTCCTGTGGGTGTGCCAGGTCGCATGCTTGAAAAGCGAATAGTGAATTCTCATCACAGGCGCACTGAGTACCATCCAAACACACGTGGACCATCTAGCCGTTTCATCCTGCAAGAAAAAACCTGCCTTGCAAAGGCGCAGCTTGGCAAGCTTTCTCCAAACCTTGGTCTCGTTGACAGGTGCACCCACTTGCTCGCCTTCGTCCTCTGAAGAAACCTGGTCTGCGACCATGCCAGCAGTCTGGAATGCTGCCTCAAAGGCTTTCGGCGCAAGCTGGCAAAAGTTTTGCAGCAAGGACACGTGACGCACGCAGGGAGCTACTTTGGTCCACTTGTTGAGAGCAGGAACTGCAATGGGTTTTAGCATGACCCGCTCTAAGAGCTGCATTGCTGTGTCAACCGCCTCTTCCCGGTCCTTGCAGCAATCAGGCGGACCGGCACAAACGTGGACTGGCGGTCCTGCGAGGCGAACAAATGCTTGGTAGTTGAAAAGGCAGAAAAGGCAGGAGCAAGAGTAAGGTAGGATCAATATAAGGGCTGGTGCGCAAAGCTTCTGGCTAGGGGCTGGGAGCTGCTTGGGTATCCAACATGTCACACTAGCCTCATACTATCTATCTATATATCTGCCTATCTACGACTCATTCATTTTCTATCCATCTATGTATCATCCAATCGTCTACATCCATCTAAATCATCCATATTCAATATCTATACCTATCTCTCGGCAAAGTCTGGGGACACGGCTTTCCAAGGTTGGCTTCAAGCTTGTCGGGATTGCATAGCGGAGCATGCTCAATGATCTGTGCATATGAACACGCAGACGTCGGCACATTTCCTGACTTTGCCTGATACAATCAGAGCTTGCTAGAATCTACCAAAACAGTAGCAACCATTACCACAACATCAGGAGTACATACTGCATACTAGATCTAAGAAATCGAAGGAGCCAACACATCATACCGGACTGGTGGCCTGCCGCAGCGGTTCTTTTGCGTTGCCCCACAGCCAAGGCGGTGCAACGAGGCCTAAGGCCCAAGGCCAACGGGCTAAAGTACAGGCCAAAGGCCGACGACGCAGAACAACTTACTGTGTATCCTGAATCAATTGAAACGATGCCAAAAGCCAAGGCAGGCGATGCATAAAACGATGTGGTTCTATTCTGCGTCGCGACCCGGCCAAAGGCTAGCCACAAAAAAGGTTTGCGTTGCGGCTAAGCAACTCTCGTCTCTCGTATTATGGGTTGCTAATCTCAGCTTGCCTGCAATCACACATCAAGTTTTGATGCTTTTTGCAATGATGACCATCATCAACAGAATGTCAACATGCCGCTAATATGCCACTAGACTATGACTCTGCAGCAGGCAAGTGAGACTGCAACCCGGCCACAGGCCGCAGCTTCAGCTGGAGCTTAGGGCTTAAGGCAGGCAACGATCACAGCCGATGAAAAACTGCGTCTCAAACTTCTCCAGTCAAGACTTTAGCTGCAATCTGGCCAAAGGCCGGCCCTAATAACTAGTAACTAATAAGCTCCAGATGGCACTGCAACCTGGCCAAAGGCCAAAGACCGCCGCTCAGACATAGCCCTGTCCCCGCTTGCGCGGGTTTTCCAAAAGTTCGCGTCCACCCCATGTTGTTTTGAGGTAGCTTGCGCATTCGATGTTGTTGCCAAGAGCCATGTCCACGACTCCTTGTCCTTTTTTTCCACCTGGCGAGTTCAGGCAAGCCCCGACCATGTGGAAAGCCGCGGTCGATCTTTCGCCCCCGTACTCGGACGATCCGCCCAATTTGTGGTAGAGAGACCAGCAAATCTTCTTGATAAAGCTGAGCTGCCCCCTTGACGCCGCTATGTGCAGCGCGGTACTGCCACTTGCGGCACGGGTCCTCGGCTGAGCTTTGTCAAGTTGCGTGTGCAAAGACTAGTTACCCAAGCTTTAGGTTCCAGGTTTTCAAGGAGGAACGATTTTGGCATTCAGGGATTGAACAAGTAGTCTAATAAAATCTATAAACTACCGACTTGACTTATAAGCCGCCTCTTAGTTCCCTTGTGATTATTCAAGAAAGACATATAACTCCTAACTCCTAAGTCGTTGTGTCAAGTGTGTGACAGTGTGTGTGTGTAGGTGTGTGTGTGTGTGTTCTTGGCCTGATATAAAAAAGCCTGTCGGAACTCTGGAAGAAAACCTGAATTCTAACATTCTAAACATGTAATACCAAAAAAGCTGTCCCCATTGGCACCGGCATGTCTTCCAACATGTCATTGCCATTTTGGTCGCTTCACTGTACACTGCCACAAGGTCAGAAGTTTAGAGACTCGCTACGAAGCTCATCGTGAATCGTGAGAACTGACTACAGACGCCTCAGGACCGGATCTCAGCTGCCACCTTGCCTTAATGTGCGATGACCTGGCATTCGACACTGACAATGCTAGCCTCTTCTCCATCTGTGCGGCCGGCCATGTCATAGAAACACATCACATCAGAGTCAGCCTGTAGCAAGCCAGGCAGGCCATGCTGGAGAGGCAATCCAGCATGGCCTGCCGGCTTGCTACAGGCTGGCCACTGGGCTTCAGTCCATAGGTTCTCCAGGATCGAAATTTCGGTTCCCGAGGCCAGGGTTTTCCGCATAATAGCCGCCACCATGGACCACAGCTCATAGAGTAGCTTGCGGGTGGAGACAAAGCCATGACGGTTGACCCTATTCTAAGAGTCTTAGAATAGGGTCAACCGTCATGGCTCTGCAGACGACGTGGGCAACGGGGCCAAAGGCCATGTTGGCATAGCTGCCGGTGCTTGCCCAACCTTCTCAGACCGGCATCAATTCCAACCAGGTGTTTCCAATGGAAACGACACCTGGTTGGATTGACGCCTGTCTGAGATGTCTTGCCAAACCCGGCCCAAGGCCCAACCAAGCCACTTCTCAGCCTTCTGAACTCTGACGAGAGTTCTCTGCTTTGGCAACATTAGTCTAATGTCATCAGACCACGCCATTGCCAGGAGCATTGCAGCACAGCACAGTGGTCACCATAACAGCGTAGGCACCTTGAGCCTGCAAAGAATTTAGAAGCCGAAATCTGAAGGCTCTTTCAAACCCTCCCTTTGTTTCCTGTTTCCTCAGCAGGAAGCTACTGAACATTGAAGACTGCAAGAAGCTCAAACTTTAAACAGGCCAAAGCTCTGAATGCCAGTAGCGCTCATGTGCTGGAGCAGCGTGCAAAGCATGCTGTACGCGTATTCAATGCCACCCAATTGTCCAGGAGGACTGTCCACGAGCACCATGAGAGGCGTCCAATTGGGCGGCATACCGGATGGAAGTGTTGCCACATCCGCCAATGAAGGGGCTTTCGACCTGGGTTGTATCAAAAGGACCGGAAACCACAAGCATAAAAAGGTTGCCGACATTCTACAAACTAAAACTAGAACTGCGAGGAAAAAATCTCCCAAAGTGCTGTCTAACGGCAACACCCACTCCAAACCTGGCTTTAAGCCTGTGCGCACCAAATGATGAGCAAGGCTCATGCCTTGGTGATCGCGCAGGGTAGCCAGCTCTGAGACCGGCAGCTCGTTGCACAGGAGGTGCCTCAGCCTCGAAAAGTCACGGTTGTACATGACCTCGAAAACTTCCTTCTTGCGCTGGTCTGCCTCAGCCTGGTTCGTGACCTTTGTGAGTCGCGTCAGTAGCGTCTGTTGCTGGACCTTTTGTGTCTCCAACAACTCAAACAGCCTGGCTAACGTCTCAGCTGACTCCGGATCCTGGCCCTCGTCCTTCTCGCCAGCCTTCTGTAGTCGGTTGACAGCCTGAACCAGATTTTCGACGGCAGCGGCGGCTGTCATGTTGGGGTCGACGAACACCTGGCCAGAGGCCGCTGCCATGGACTTATCATCCGCAGCTGGCTCGGGCTTGGTCTCTTCCTCGCCTTCAGAAGGCACCGGGCCTCAGATTGCTGTGTAGGAAAAGAAGCAAAAAGCAAATGGCAAAAGGGCCAACCAAGCAAGTCGCATAACCCCCACTTAGTACTAAGTACTAGGAAATTAAGGTCAGTTTTTAAAAACTCAAAAAAAAACATCATGACGGGCAGCTTGTAGGTGGGTGCTCTTCCTCTTCCTCCATAGCCTCAGCTTCTCCTTTGCCGGCTTGGTCTGACTCTTGCTGCTCCATATCCGTATCGCCACCATAGTCAGCCGCCTCCTCCTCGATCTTCACATTCTGCTCCTCCACCGGCTCGTCCTCAACCTCGACCTCAACTTCGACTTCCTCGTCAAGCTCGTCCGGGCTGGCGGTGAAAGCCATGAGCTGACGATTCAAGTCTCCAAGGTCTTTCACTACCCCTTGCAGCCGAACGAAGTCTTCGGAGGTCCACCTTGGCGAGGCAACTGGGCTTTCCGGGTTGCGATCCTGCCACATCTTCGTACTCGCAGACTGTTGGCTTTTGTCCACCATGTAATACTCGTCGTCCTCTGCCTCGGACGACACTGGCAAAGAGGCTGGCAGAGCACCGGCGTCCGGATCTTCAGTGCCATCAGATGCCGAAGACTGGGGTCGGGAACCTGGCGCAACGCCACTGGCCGAAGCAGCTCCTGGGAGTGTTGCACGCTTGGGAGCATCGGACTCAAAGTCTGTGAGGCCTTTGCCGCCAACCATGCTCACAATATCGTAGGAGTCGTCAGTGGTGAAGCCAAATTCCGTCCCCGTCTCACCCGAATCGCTGAACCTCCATGCCTTAACCCGCCCACCTGCCGGCATGGCCTTCGTTTTGATGGCGGCGGGAGCTCTGGCTTTTGGCCTGGTGGCCTCAATCTGCTGTGAGCGGGCTTCCAACAGATCTCGGACTTCTTTAACCTGGCCTGTGGCCCTGACCATCGAAACTGGCAGAGACGGGAGGCTCGGCCGGATGTGGTTGCGAGTCTCGAAACCCAGCTCCAAAGCCATTTTCCTCAACGTCAAAGGTGTCATGAGATCCTCGGTGGAGCACAGGGCACAGACTCACTGAACACGCAACATTGATACATTATATCATTATAGTGAACACTCAAGCCCAACCTAAAAGTCTAAAATTGAAGCGAAGAAACGTTCAGCATGTTGCTTGATGCCACGCCTCTGCCGTTGCCGACCATGGCGCCCGTGACAGCAACCTGGTCAGAGACCTCCGCCAGAAAGTCCATCGGGCGTATTGTGTTGATACGTCCGCCTCTGCACGGTGCTCGGCTTTGAAGGTCCACGATGTTCCGAAGCTGTGTCACATGGTGACTGGCCGTATCGAAGGGAATGCCACAGATGATCATCAAGAGCAACACGGTCCTTGGCTCAAATGCCACAGCTCTGTGTCTCTAACCATACCATAACATACCTACACCTGCACTGCCTACTAAACACACGCTGCACTCGTCTGTCCTAAACTGAACTGACCCAGAAGTCTTATTGCGAAGCGATGATAAAGCCATGAATCCAGAAAGCCGCAAAACCCCCATTATGAACCACTACACCATTCATCACCTCGGCCAAGTGTCAAGGTCGCAGACCTGTGCGCTCCGTTGTGACATAAAATCACCACGGAGAAGCCCTTCAAAAGCAGCTCGATCACTGAGTGAAGGCGGTCAATAACCTGGCTCAAAGCCACGTCTTTATGGACAACGCCAGTCCCGTCCACAAACGGGAGGATTCTCACTGCTGCTTGGTCTTGCAAATGATTCGTGGCAGTTCTGTTTGCTGGAAACACCACCGCGACATGGTTCTGTGATCTGTGTCAGGCATGCAACATCCGCGAAGTGGCCTCCAAGCCACAACTTCCCGCCTTTGCCGTTCTGGAGGTCGAGGATGAGGTGCATCGGATGCCTGCACATAGTTCTACGCTTGGTTCTTCAACGCTGAAATCATTGAATCATCTCACTAACTAAGTAGAGTAACTATCTAACCATCCGATCCCATCAAACACGTAAGTCCGTAACTCAGGAAAGGTGCCGCTTGTTGTACGCATCCCGGGCATACCGGACAGCGTCAACCCCACCATAGGTGTCGCAGCACAGCACTGATTGCAGCTTCTCCACAGCTCCATACACATCCTGAAGCTTCATGTCTTTACCTGGCCAAAGGCCTGACAATGCCTGTCTCCGAGCATCTGCTGGCTCGAAACAAGCTGAAAGGCCTTCGCGGTTCACAAAGCCGTGCAACAAAACATCCTGCATGTTCATGATTGTGTGGGTAGACGACATGGCTCTTCACGGTCTTCGGATTCACTACCACAAGCGAGTCACAAGTGGACCACAGGTCACTAGTCCACGAGCTTGATAGGCACCAGGCCCACACTGCGGTGATAGCAAACCACTGCTGACTTGGCGATCGCTGACACTTGCAAGAAAAGACATGCAACATGCAGTGACACGCGCAACAAACAACTGACACCCACACAATGCCCAATTCTGAACGTCACTGAACGCTGAATCTGAATGCAGGTGTCGGTCCTGTCCAAGGGCCTCGGAAGAAGTCTGTGAACTTCTTGATGTCGGCCGAAGTACCCGGACGAAGACCAGAACTGTCGTCAATGTTGTCGGCAAGACCTTCCAGCACCAGTTCCAAGAACAATTGGGCTTGTTTTCTTGCTGCTGCCCACTCTGCCTGCACGCCTGGGGGCTCTGCGGGCAGGATTTTCAAATCATCCTGCAACTGGGTTCTGATTGCCTGCTTCCAATCCTTGAAGAGTTTGCCTTTCTGGCTGCACTTGGACAAGCAATAGCAACCTGGCAAAATGCCGAGTAATTTTGTCAAACGTTCTATCACATTTCCATTTCGGTGTTGTGCACACAGCATTGGCAGCAAATACACTTTTTCAGGCAGCACGGCATGCACGTGCTTTAAAAGCCTGATGTTGGCAGATGCTTGATCACAAGTGATGATGATACAGCAATAATCAGCCTGCAATGACATGCTGTTTGCTGCGAGACTGCCCTCACCCTGGCAAAGAGCCTCGTACATGCAAGACGCCGTCTTCCTGGGCAAGGCTTGTGGGAGTCGCACAAAATCGAACTCCTGAACAGAATCAGAATCACCATTGCCAATGCTCAGCTGCGAGTGCGATGCTAGAATTGACCAGGCCCCAGGCCCTTCGCCATCCAGCGTCAACTCTAACTCTGTTTCGTCAAACATAAGGTTCATTATCCAGAACTTGGGGGCTGATGCGAGAAGGGCCGAACGCACTGCTGCTGCTTTCTGGTATTGCAAACCTTCGGCTTGCTTTTGCAAGATGATGTCGGCAACCAACATCCGTGCATTCAGCACGTGGCTGCCACTCGCACCGTCAATCTCCTGTGCAACCTGGCGTAACGCCGCAGACGGACTTGCAAAAGCAGCCCTCAACAGCGCCTCTGGCGTCCAAACCTTCCAACCCGCACGACCAGAAACTTTTGCACGTTTGTCTGCTGAATGCATGGGAAACAAGTGATCCCTGGTGCGATTGCGGCCAGAAGAGTTGGCAGCCACGACCTGAAGCTTATTTTTAGCCTCCCGGTCTTTCTGCACCCCCAGCCCCCTACGGCTTGAGCGACTTCGCGCTAAATTCACCGCACGTGCATGACCGGCCCGCCCACCGGCCCGCCCCCGGTTGCGTCCTTGCCGAACACCATCACCGCCAGCACCCTCACCCGGTGAATCACCGTCTACTTCTTGATTCGGGGCGGCATGCTGTTCCACAATGGCGGCAAGATCTGCAACGCCCAGCATGCTTTGATGCCTACGTGTCCTCAGGACCTTGGTGCTACGTGTCTTAAGGAGTGTCATGAGGACCTTGCTGCTACGTGTTCTAAGTGGTGCTACGTGTCCTAAGGACCTTGTGTGAAGGTGTGTGCGTGCTTGTGTTGGTGGGTAGTAACCCTAAACAGTGCTACGTGTCCTAAGGACTTTGTGTGAAGGTGTGGCTGTGTGCGTGCTTGTGTTGGTGGGTGGTAGCCGTGGTAGCTCAGACGAACTGGGCTGTTTGAGCCCAACGTGCTGGAACAGTGTTGGACCATGGCAAGTATGCATGCAGTGTGATGTTGTGCCATGTGGTGTTTGTCAGTGTTTGTCAACAGGAAAAAACAAGTCAAGAGAACAAGGTGTTTTCTGTAGTAATTGAAACAGCTTTGCAACTATTCCAAACAAATGTTAAAATATTATTTCTAAAATGTTTCCATGTTCGAAGCATTTCCTAAACAATTGTTGAAAATATCGCAAACTTTCAAAACAATTGCCGAAACAATTGCCAAAACAATTGCAACAATTAAAACAATTGCCAAAACAATTGCCAAAACAATTGCAACAATTAAAACAATTGCCAAAACAATTGCCAAAACAATTGCAACAATTACAACTATTGCCAAAACTATTGTGCTAACTATGGCCCAGGTTGTCTGTGGGTGTTCCCGAGAGCATTCTTGAAAACATTCAACAGAAACCTAGCACGGTTTCTCGACAAAACCGGCGGGGACCTCCTGGCTGCGTCCAACACACGGGGATTCAGAATGTCCTAGGCAGGGCATACGATGTGACCATCGCGTTCCGTATGCCGCGTTGCTGCGCGTGCAAGGCCTACATGCTTTGCCAGCCCAGGGCTTGCCGACAAATCTTGCTGTGATGGAAACGCGACTCAGGTTGCCGGCCGGGCAGCATCCAGCGTGACTAAGTACGGATCAATTGTGTCAAAGACAGGAAAGAAGTTGCTGGATGCACTGGACTTTTTTTGGCTTGTGCGGGCCTCGTCGACTACGGCTGTAGCACTCGGTCCCTGCAAACGAACAAACTACCAAACAACAAAAACAACGGTGAAACAAGGAACTTAATTAGAGAAAGCGGAGCTAGCTGCGGTGCCCAGGCTTTGCCGGGGTTAACCGTTCAGCACTTGCTACGGGTCCTCAGCGATCGTTCTACGACAACAGAGGGCCGTCGCCCAAAGTTGCCCAAGACCATCAGTGGAGCCCAAGTCAAGGCTCCGGCCGCCGTTCTAGTTCCGTCGAACAACGGTCGACCCCGAGGTCTTGTTGTGTCCCGATCGTGCACGCCAAAATCCACAAGTCCAAAGTCCAGGCCATCGGCAGTGGAAAGACCCGTCGACGTATGTCGAAAGGTTGGACCTTGAGCATTTCATGAGTCCAAGGTCACTGGACACGCTCCTAGGCAGGGGGACATTCATCAAGCTTACGCTGCATGTCGTTGCCACTTGTTGGAAAATGGGATTCTCGCAGTAGGTACAGCAATTGAAACTGGCCCGCATCATACAAAGCTTTGAGGCGGTGAAAGCCGTACTGGAGGGTGTCCAGGTCCGGTTCATGAAGGTGTGGCATAAGATCGTTGGAAATGAACGGGATTTGGATGCCCGGGCCAAGTCCGCCCTGCTCGATGAAAGCATGGGCCGCTGCACGCCACTCGTCTTGTCCCCA